GTGTTTCCAGCTGAAAATGAGGCTGACACACATAATAAAAATCCAAACAGGTGATCATCTGTACACATTTCTAAACAGTCTTTTTAATGAATAAGAAATATTGTTGATGACTGACTGGAATTTGACGCAGGGATACAGACACTGAATATATGAAAGGTTCATTCACTTGAAAGAAAACTGAGCCTGAATACTGCTGCCTTATATCTTCAGAATGAATGATTTTCATATTTAAGCTTGCCAATGAAAAGGATAAATGATAATTCAGCATCAGTTGTTTGACTTGAAATAACAATCTAACTTTAATCTTCATGTTATAGTGTTTCAACCTTATTCTCAAAATGAACAATACATTTTTATTTCTTAATGTGGTCCTAATACTCCATCACACTCTTAGGAAAGCTTTCTCGTAATTCCTTAAAGCAGACTTCAGGAATAGTTCTCCAGGCTTGTTGAAGGACATTCAAAGCTGGTCTTTGTGCCAGTCTATCAAGATGATCCCACGCTGCTTCAGTAATGTGGAGGCACTGACATCCATCCATGTTTTTGCTGCATTTGGATTGTGTTTCGTGCTAAAAAATGAAATTGATGCCAATCAGATTTTTTGCCGAATGGTATTGTATAGCAGATATTGTCTTCATTTAAATTTGATCTATATTTACTAGGTCGCCAACACAACTGGCTGACATGCAGCCCCAAATATGACAGATACGCTCACTGTTGTACCTCCTCTTTATATGCTGATGACAATTTGAACTAAATTTCAAATTAAGATTCATCACTCCATAAGATCGGTTTTCATTTTAGTTCTTGTATAAACTAGCATACGTCATGCTTTTCTCCTGGTTTCCCTTCTTTAAGAATGGCTTCTTGAAAGCCGAGAACTGAGAGTATTTCTGATCAGGCTTCAGTAAACAGTAGATATATCAATTGAAAATCCAGATGTATGTAGATATGACTTTCAGATACTGTTCATCAGCTATTGATAGTTAAACTTGCTAACTGACCACCACTTGTCTGGTTTCCTTGAATTTTTTAGGGACACCCTGCTAAACCTTTGACTAATTGCTCTTTGGGAATCACCTTAGTGGTGCCACGATACAATTTTTGTCAAGTGCGTGCAGGCAGGAATGGTGGACCCAAAGTGCAGACTAGGGCTGGGCTATATCATACCGTTCACGGTAATACTGGTGTAATGTTGGTCAACGATAGGAAAATGAAATATGGCGATAGCATATGGGTAAAACGCGCATGTGCAGTGCCTTTGCTTTCATACGCACATGGCGGCGACGCAGAATGAGAAGAGCGAAAGTGGATCGTTGAATGAAACAATGAACCAGAACTGGTTTGTAAAAATGCTGCAGCTTCAGTGGTGGAACTGGTTTAGCTTTCGTCCGTCAGATACACAACAAAGCACTATTTTTGGTAGAGCATGCTAGCGGGCCGTCGTTATTACCGTGTTGTTTGGAAAATACGGCACACTTAAAACACTCCTTTGATTTTTCTGAAAGTCGACAGAGCCCCTTATAATCCCGTGTGCCTTATGTCTGAACTCTGGTTGTGTTTACTGACCTCGAAACGATTTTATGTGCACGGCGCTCGAAAATCTGTCAAATGTTTCAGTACGACTTTGCTAAGCTACGAAGCCGCACCGCTTGATGGATTGTCGGAGCGTTACGGCTATCGTAGGCGGAGCCTCGCGGAGTGATACGTACTGTGCTTCAACATAATGTTACCGTACTGTGTGTGTATAACCTCTTTTTAAGTTTTGTGGATGTTATACATGGTTATGCTGAGGATACGTCGGCCAGTTTCCACTGGAAATGCCTTTTGGTTAAACTGTCAGTGAGGAGTTTGCACTGTTAAATGTTTATATAACTTTAATGCAGATAAAAACAGCTGCTTGTTTAAGTGAAAATACATTGATGGGGTTTTTTGCACTAATAAAGTTGTGGAGTTGTAAAGTATTTTGTCTAGTGTCAATTATATCGTCAGTTATATCGTTATCGCAAATTTTCAAACGTATATCGTGATAAATATTTTTGGTCATATCGCCCTGCTCTAGTGCAGACTCACGGAAACAAAATGACAAAACACAAGTCCACAAGAAGCCGAGGAGCTCAAGAAAACCAAAAGTCCGTGAAGAGCACTGGAACTCAAAAAACTGTCCATAAAGCTCTCCGGGGATTGCCCGGAGCAACACAGGCGAGGCAAATCCGGCATTTTTACAAACCAATTCTGGTTCATCAGTCACATTTAACGATCCGCTTACGCTCTTCTCATTCTGCGTCGCCGCTATGTGCGTATGAAAACAAGCGCACTGCGCATGCGCGTTTTACCCATATTCTATTGCAATATTTCATTTTCCTATCGTTGCCCAAAATTACACCGGTATTACCGTGAATGGTATGATATAGCCCAGCCCTAATGCAAACTGGGGGAGCTAGGGATCGAACCACCAACCTTCTGATCAGCAACTAACCTGCTCTACGTCCTGAGTTCTAGCCAGCCAGGTTGTGGACCAGACGACGGCGTGGCAGCAGCAGGACCAGATGAGGCAGGACCAGACTTAATTGATTAGTCTCTGATTGATTTAATGTTCATGTAATCCAAACATACAGTGTCTGAGTTTGTTGGTTCGGGCAGAACAGAATCCCGAGAGGAAAACAGTCTGATTCACAGTGAATGAAATGTCAGAAGGTTCGGGACCGGGATGCTCAAGCGGAACATTCAGCAAACAGTCACTCTTACTCACCGATGAAGTTAGCTCAGCAGCCCTGGAGTGACAGCGGCGTGAGCGACGCCTTCCCTTGTGGAAGGGGGAGGCGGCGAGAGAGAGGACGGACCAGTTCGCAAGTCATCCAGCGGATTGAGCTGCGACTGCTCCAGTTGACCGGGCTGCAAATCCTCCGACTCCTCACACTGAAGCGGTTAACCTCCAGCAGAAACGCCGTCCTGCTGTGGCAAACGCAGCTGCTTCACAGAGAACTCTCTCTGGTGCTGCTGTGTTGGCGTGGAAAGAAAGATAGCTAGCTCACTGGCTCTTACGTGCTCCCTCCATGCAGCTATGGTGCTGCTCAGTTTAGTGTTCAAGGAGAATTGATGAAGCCGGGGTTGTTCTTAATCATTGCGTCCACTGCGCTCAGTCCCACAGACATAGCCTGTAAGCTATCGGCCTGAGAGATGCGGTCCAGCAAATTAACCAACCTCTCCATTTCGGAATCAACCTCAGAGGCGGAACAATCTGCGGGGTCCATGTTCTGGTCATGATCTTATGTCAAGTGAAGGCTGAGTGCAGGTGAACTTAAATACAGCTTTAATGCTGGACGGCAAAACAGAAAACTGGCTGCATTAGAATACAAAATAAACTTACTGGCAGACAGAACACACAGTACAGAATGAGGGTAGATCGCAACACTGACACAGAGAAACACAAGGCTAAAATACACAGAGGGAGCTTTCTGGGAATGAGAGACAGAAGCGAAACACAGCTGGGACAAATCATACATGACGAGACCAAAGGGAAGCAAAACTCAATACAATAACCCAGACTTTCAAAGTAAACCAGGAAACATAACAGACTGAACTTCTATACATAGACTCACAGGCAGACACTGAAACCATAGACACTACACAGGGAACACGGAAATCACAACCAAAACCTAAGAATTAATAAAGAAATATATTTAAAAACAAAATACTGGGTCAGCGACTCAGGCACCCCAACAATTTTACCCCTGTGAATCTGTGTCTTTGACCTTTTTTCTTAAACTGATGTGAACAAATGCTGGGTGTTAGTGACAGTAACAAAGTACCTAAAGATACAATTTAAAACAGATTATCTGATAAGTTGTCTGTTATGAGTAGATATGACACTGATTCATCCTTTGTGTTTTTTATGCTTCAATGATTCCGTATTAAGTGGCTTAAAAAAAGAAAGAAAGAAAACAGTGTGAGAATAGTCATGCAAGAGAAAACTTTAAAAGATCTTCAGGAAGCTACAAGGAAGTCTGGCTCCTGGGAGGGGAAACAAAGAAATTATGAATAAATCTCCAGAACTTTGTACAGTACTGTACTGCATGGAAATGAAAAGAAACACACTCTTGAAGATATTTCCTGTCATTTAAAGAGTCATTGCATTCTCCAATGACTGACGCTGCATGTTGATTTCCTGACCACACGAGGGTCAGAAGAGCTCCAAAATTTCAGCGTTACACAAAGAATGGCTAATATCATCATACAAATAGCAAATACACTCAACACACAGTGTGACACAATATTTCTGGCCACACAACAAATGACACAATCTATGTAGGACTTAAGAAACTTTCTCAAAAAACATCAGAATTTTTCTCTTATTACCAATTTTAATATTTCTTCAGTAGTCATAGATACTTTGTAGCTTTATGTACTCCTGCTAGACCTCAATGCAGCATTTGATACTGTTCAACATAGTATTTTATTACACAGATTAGAACATGCTGTAGGTATTAAAAGGTACTATAGCGATCACGTAGGACATCATTATATACCAGCTAGCACAACTTCAGTAACCCTACAAACGTCACTGCTGTTTAGTTTCCTGTCTTCATTTATGTTGGAAGTGATAGCAGAGCTGTACGTTTGAATTCTTTCAGAAATCTCTCAGTTAGAACATGCTATATCATTTTCAGGTGGAAACTAACGAGCTAACTTCCTGCTAACTTTTAACTCAGTTAAATTTAATAAATTCTGTTTTCATGGATGCCTGGATGTTAAAGCAGCAACACTGATCATTTTATTAAAGATGAAAGAATTTAGCCAGTGTTTAACTCTCAGTGATGCCGCAGTGTTCGTTTGACTTTGGGACCTGAAGGTCGACGGAGTTTAGGACCCAGATTACTCAGCGAGGCTCCATCACGCAGTGCCACCAAAGTCGTACTAAAACATTTGACAGATTTTGAGCGCCGTGTAGCACATAAAATCAGTTTGAGGTCAGTAAGCACAACCAGAATTTATACATAAGGCGCACCGGATTATAAGGCAAACTGTCGATTTTTGAGAAGATTAAAGGATTTTAAGTGTGCCTTATTGTGCGGAAAATACGGTACTAAGGTTTTCAGCATCTCTGCCATGGCATCAGACTACACAGGCCCCCCTTCCCAAGTTCATCAGTGAGTCCTGATCGCCTAAGGCACTGTCACAGGTTTATCAGTTGGACCAATACCTCTGTTTACTTGTAAACAGACCTAACTGTTGTTGATGATGTCTGTTGATTTAAAATTAGCTTTTGCCTTTTATTTAAATGCAGTTGTCCATAATGAGTGGTTTTCACAAAGTACATGGCAGCTCCTGGTATCTTCCAATTTTAAGGCTGAACTAGTAAGTTTTTTTCCTCTTGGCTAATTGCATCTGTGGTTTTACTGATATTGCCTGAATGTGGCTTTACATCTGGGATTTTACCAATGTCATGTTTCCCCATACATTTTCTTCCCATAGTGTATGTGTAGACAAACGTGTATGACTGCAGTGTCCCATGTGTGATGTCAAAAGACTTACGCAGGCTTGAAGTTAGAGTCTCTTGTCTAAACCACCTGCTGTAAGCACCATCAGCCATGTACCAGTCCTCCTTAGTTCCTGATATGAGCGTTCCTCAGATTGTAGGCATATTTTTACCCTATTTCTCTTTAGGAGTTTTCAAGCAAAAAGAGTCTATTCAAAGTGCACTCCTTTCATACGCCTGTCAGGAAATGAAAAGAAATGCCCTTACTGTCTGACTAGTGGGCCATGTGACTAGCTTTTTTTTCTTTTGCCTTAGATAAACAACTCTCAGTTTTTTGAAATCCAGCTTCATCCCCAAGCAAAATTTCCATTTGTGTGGCTGTGACATTTTTTATGTGATTTATTCTATTGTCCCGAATCCCCCGGCCTTTGCTGCCCCTCCACCTTGTCCCCTTGCCATCAGCTTGACAATCCCAGCCTTTGTTTTTGCAATGAGAAGCAGCATTCTTCCAGAGGGATGACCTCCTCTGTCTCTATAGAGGCTGGCACTGGGGACACGACCCTCCCCGATGATTGGATAGCACCCGCCGGATGCTGTGAATGAAATCCACTAGTTGTCACCCCAATGCTGCCCACATGTGCGCCAAACACAAGCTCATTCCCGAGAAAGAGAACTCGAGGGATCCCTCTGTTCATCCCAGCTGATGCTCCCAAGCCTCAGCACTGCTATCAGGACCATTAGCACAGAACACAGGATCCAACTCTGTGGATCATCATTCGTTTCTGTGAGTATCCATTTGATGCTTTTTAACCGTAGTTTTTAACAATATACTTTAGAGTCAGGACTCCAGTGATCATTATATTATTGTTCTTAACAACTGCCAAGCAGGGCAAATTAATTTCTTCCTTTTTAGAAGAAAAGAAAAGAGGAGGTTTTAGCAGCACCATAAGAGGAGGCTGAAATGAAAGGTACTGAAGTGAAAAACTATTTCAGAGAGACTCATCCTTAAAATCCCAAAGCACACTCATTATTAGAATTCCAAGCCAGCAGTACATCAAGGCACCCAGCTCAAGTTTTATACCTCAAACCAGCTGAAAGGGATGAGTGCAAACACAGGAACATCAAAAACCAGAAACAGTAATGCATTAGGCTACCTGCAGCGATGCAGGTATCTGTCATACACGGACACCTGCACAGATCTGCATTCAGGTTATTATGCAGTTATGTGGGTAGGGATAAGTGAATTTACTTTGCAATACCTGTATTGTACTTTTATTAAATACACAGCACATAATAACTGTTGCCGTTATGGCTGTCTGTGTGCCACCTGGCTTGAGGACTGTAGGGTGGGAATGGGAACTGCTTTGTAATGAGGATTTGCTGTGAATACATGGATGCTATAACACAGAGTTAGCTGGGCATTCACAGAAATGCAAAGCTGTGGTCAATGGTGCTATTTATTGAAATTCCATATCATGAGTGTATCTGTGCGACACAGTGCTTGTAAGGCTTGTTACCCTTTAAATTGTGGCTCTTTCATCAGTATGCCTTCAGTGTGTACATGTCACATAGCCCCCAGCAGTGCCTGCCATTTGACTCTCATTAGCACAAACAACATTTGTATGGATTTCCCAGCTGAAACCGAATTTATGTTTCAGGGAGTTTTGATACCAAGAGAGACCTATTTATAGTGTTTATGAGCTCGTCCATACATTTTAAAGACATGGTCAGACACTTTCAATCCTTTTAAGTGCGGCATGAGGCCTGCCTGTCCTCCTTCCACTCATTGCTCTTTAAACCAGTCAGAGTCTATCAATAATGAGCACTGCATTAGAATCATTTGGTTTGGTTTGTAGATGTGCTTCTCTTTCCAGCACAGCTTTACTGCCAAGTCCCATTATGTACTTGAATTGATTTACAGCTATTCTATCATTTCTTATAGGTAACGCCATAAAAAAGGCACATTAAAAGAACACAAGAAGATTGCAGTCACATTAAAACACTGGTGCCGTAGTAAACGTGTAGTAGTGGTCAGTTGTGTGTTATATAAACAAACTATCAGCCTGTTGTTGCTGATTGGTGTTCTAACAGGCACAATCATCGGCATGCTTCAGTGCTCGCACACAGTGCTATTGTTCACGGCTGAGCTGAAGAAAATAATACTACATTATGTAGATGGATCAAAAATGAATCATTCCATGAAAGAACCTTCAAATTGTTAAAAAATAGTTTTATGTCTGAGTTTCATGCAATGTTCGTGTGCTAACTCATCTGCCCCCAGCAAAGGTCATTAGCAAGTGGCAGACCCGTGTGCTTAGTGATGTGTATGGACACGGGTGCTGCGCCAAGAGGATTCTGAAAACCAATCAAGAGAGCGCTTTCTCAGCTGATGGGATTTAATAAAAAAATCAATTTGAAACAAACACTGCAGCACGACCCATGTTATTTTATTTTGTCCTTATCCTTCAAAGTGCTTCCAGTAGCGATGGTAGCGGTACTGTCATGAGCCATGTCTTTGATTATGCGCATTTTCATCATGTAAAATCATTCAATAAGAAATATTGTATTTGTCATTTTTATTTATTTTTTAATGTTTTCTTATCAGTCGCAGTATTGGGTCGATTGCCTGATAGTTTTATAAAGACAGAAATATCATTTGTTTACTCTCTTTTTCCTAAGATAATTTTTATTTGACATTGTTGGCTCTGTTTGTCAGTTGTTGGTGTAAGGAAACAGGAAACAGGGAAAGGGTATGACATGCAACCTGCTGGGAGGAACAGTGAAAGCTGCAGGCACAGCATGGGGTATGTGCCTTATCCGTTAGACCAACGCACACTTTCAGCTATTTTATTTTAATTGCAAATACTTGTAAATACTTAAACGCTGTGGGTTTAACATTAGTAAAGGGACTCAGGCAGCTGGAAACCATATATCTATGTATGGATGGATGTATGGATAGATGAGGTGTTTTGTGATGTTCTCAAACTGATCTCCCTGTTGGAGCTCAGTCTGGGGGAGTTTTTTTTCTCCTCGTCTTTCCTCATGTTGTGCAGTTTCCATTGTTATACCTCTCTGACCTGCCTTCCCCATGTGATGTTTGTGTAATGTATGTATGGTCGGAAGGGTAAGATGGCGCTGGCAAGGCTGGCAGCCTTAACCCAATTTCCCTCTGGATGAATAAAGTATTATCAATCAATCAATCAATCAATCATTCAATCAATCAATAGCCTGGCTGCAATTACACTTTTTCAACTTTATATTTGAGCTTGTAACAGACATTTATGCAATATAATGAAGGAAATGTAGAATAAACATAAAGAATGTTAAATGCTTAAATTCAAAGAGAATTTGAATAGTTTTCTTCAGTCTGTTAGCACAGGCTCTCTCCTGTGAAATGCAACTTTTTTAAAAACCTATATACTAATAGGTAAGTATACATTAATATATAATATATATTAGTGCTGCCAAACAATTAAAGTGTTTAATCAGATTCATCACAGGGTTACTGTGGATTAATTTTGATTAAATATCATGTTTATTCTATATTAATCAGATTTCATTTTGCATGAGCAAACAGACTCGAGAAAAAAGGGAAAATATACGAACTTAATATGTTTATTGAACATTTGGAACATTCATGTTGACAGAAACCTCTGTAAACATGTATCCTCTCTCTGTCACTCCTGGGGAGGCTTCAAGTCCTTGAAACGAGGACCCAAAGCTGTGTAAAGGTTGTCAGTGATGTTAACAGGTCTGCAGTTTGTTGCAATCCACTCGGCGTCAGTCGATGTGTCCGAGGTCGACTTACTGAGTCCGCGATGCTCCGTGAGGGGTTTGTCCAAGCTGGGTGACGCGTTAGCCAAAGTGCTAGCAGCATCCTGGCTAACGTATGCTTATATATATATATATATATGTATATACATATATATATACACTCAACAAAAATATAAACGCAACACCTTTGTTACTGCTCCCATTCCCCATGGGATGGACGTAGAGACCTAAAATTCATTCCAGATACACAATATAACCATCCCTCCCAAACAGTGGTCACAAATCAGTCCAAATGTGTGGTAGTGGGCACATCTGCTATATTGAGATAATCCATCCCACCTCACAGGTGTGCCACATCAGGATGCTGATCTGACATCATGAGTAGTGCACAGGTGTACCTCAGACTGCCCACAACAAAAGGCCACCCTGGAATGTGCAGTTTTTTGCGCTATTGGGGGTCTGGGGACCCAGAACCGGTCAGTATCTGGTGTGACCACCATTTGCCTCATGCAGTGCAACACATCGTCGCATGGAGTCTATCAGATTGTCAATTGTGGCCTGTGGAATGTTGGTCCACTCCACTTCAATGGCTGTGCGAGGTTGTTGGATATTCGTGGGAACTGGTACACGCTGTCGTATACGCCGGTCAAGCACATCCCGAACATGCTCAATGGGTGACATGTCCGGTGAGTATGCTGGCCATGCAAGAACTGGGACATTCTCAGCTGCCATCTGCCCTGAACAATGTGAACCATGATTCATCCGTGAAGCGCACACCTCTCCAACGTGCCAGACGCCATCGAATGTGAGCATTTGCCCACACAAGTCTGTTACGGCGATGAGCTGGAGTCAGGTCAAGACCCCGATGAGGACGACGGGCATGCAGTTGAGCGTCCCTGAGACGGTTTCTGACAGTTTGTGCAGAAATTGTTTGGTTGTGCAAACCAATTGTTCCAGCAGCTGTCTGGGTGGCTGGTCTCAGACGATCTTGGAGGTGAACCTGCTGGATGTGGAGGTCCTGGGCTGGTGTGGTTACACGAGGTCTGCGGTTGTGAGGCCGGTTGGATGTGCTGCCATATTCTCTGAAACGCCTGTGGAGACGGCTTATGGTTGAGAAATGAACATTCAATGCACGGGCGACAGATCTGGTTGACATTCCTGCTGTCAGCATGCCAATTGCACGCTCCCTCATTGCTTGTGGCATCTGTGGCATTTTGCTGTGAGACAAAACTGCACATTCCAGGGTGGCCTTTTGTTGTGGGCAGTCTGAGGTACACCTGTGCACTACTCATGATGTCAGATCAGCATCCTGATGTGGCACACCTGTGAGGTGGGATGGATTATCTCAATATAGCAGATGTGCCCACTACCACACATTTGGACTGATTTGTGACCACTGTTTGGGAGGGATGGTTATATTGTGTATCTGGAATGAATTTTAGGTCTCTACGTCCATCCCATGGGGAATGGGAGCAGTAACAAAGGTGTTGCGTTTATATTTTTGTTGAGTGTATATATAGATATATCTAGATATATAGATATAGATATATAGATATATATCTGTATCTATATATATAGTTAAACATGGTGAAATGTTCGTGTATTGCAGACCAATAGAAACCAAAGTGTCTCTACTGTAGCGGATTTGTGTGTTTTGCATGATGCCCATGCAAGATTATCGCAGATATAGCAAAAAGTGACGAAAAACTGCAAAAAGTGGAGAAGTTGGGGCAGAGCATCCAGCACGGCAGCCGACCTCACCGGCGCCATTTTAATTATGCTTAACTATATGAAGCTTATTAGACATTATGAAATAGATTGTATGTAAAAGCAAATTTTGCCAAAGTGCTTAAAAGAGTTTTTTTCCTTAGCAAATTTTCTACTTAAATTTTGTATTAATTTAACAAATTTTTGGATATCATGTGTGATTTCCATTGCAAATATTAATCAAAGTTATATTTAGGGGGCTTGGCAGAAAAAACACTGGAGCGGAGCTGTGATGATATCAAG